CCACCCCTGGGTGGCAGGACTGTGGGTGATCATCGCCCCACCGAAGGAGATTACGACAGACATCTCTGCAGCCAAGGAAGAGAAAAAGGCAGAGGGATCCCTTACTTCAGATGAGATTGGGGAGATGTGTAAAGTTTGAGAAACTGCAAAATTTTGTAGAAAAGCACTACCCAAATGAGGCTGTAGACCAACTGATGAATCTAATGACAATGCAATGTCACATTTCCACAAAACCCTCAAAACGAAGCAAAGGAAGTGTCCTTGGATAGGTTCTTTGTTAAGTTTCGAGAAAAGAAAAAGAGTCCATTAAGCCAACAGACAGCAGTGATTCCATCAGTGATAGGGAAAGTCGCCCTCCCCTGTCATCTCCCTCACACCAATCCTGAAGGCTTTCAAAGGTTAGTGCAAGTGGTTTTCCTTTATATTGTGTATATTACCTTTATTATTTTGTATGATGTTACAGAATTATAATCATTTTTACATATTTTTTGACTTGTGGAGCTAATCATCTGAGTCTCCATTACTTCTTATGGGGAAATTCCCTTTGCTATACTAGTGCTTTGGATTACAACATGTTTCCAGGATGAATTGTGTTCACAAACCAAGGTTTCACTGTACATATATGTTCTCCAATATCTGTTATAAACACTTAAACGTAGTGGAAATACAGTCCCAATCAATGTATTTTCTACTCTCAGAGGAAAGTTCTAGGAGCAGAATTTTTCCTCAAGATAATCCCTAGGCTGATCCCTGAAGGAATGTGTCCCTAAAAAAGGAAGCATTAGACAGGGCAATGCCAGACACATGCACAAAGTAGGCCCTTTCACAGACCGAATTCTATTTTAAAGAACTTCAAAACCTAAAATTTGGCCCAATGAACAATGCAGTATGTAAATGCAGATCTCATATTTTAGTGGCTCACAACACAGTGAATTGTATCATGATTCTCCTGACTCAGCCACCCAGAGTACTGGGGTTACAGACATGTACCACCACACCAGACTATGTACACTTTTTCTAAGAAATTTTATGAGACAAGAATTTTAAGGTAAGGCTAACAGAATAAAAGCCAGATGTGGTAGATTAAAAACTGGTCAACTTAACACCAGCTGAACTGAGTCGGTGTGGTGCTGAGTGTAGCCCACCTGAGGGAAGTTGCCAGCATACAAAGGAGACCTGGAGAGGAAATATAGCACTGTGGGTTCTCCTAACTGTTGCTATTTGGAGCTACTGGTTCTCCTGGAGGAGCTCATCATGCTGTCTTCCCTGATACGAACTTGGCTGTTACCATCAAAGGAGCACAGGACCTTGCTGCTGAGAGTGGCTGTGGTTCACTTTGGAGGAGCTCTGGTCCTTACTTTGAGCATCACTTCCTGGTTGTGGAGGGGAAGATGTGTGCTGTTCAATCTCCAGAAGAAACTTGTCATGCTAGCTTCCTGATACGTACTCGGCTATTATCATCAATGGAGGAGCTCAGGACTTCATTGGCACTGAGAATGGCTGTGATACTTTCCAGGGAGCTCTGGTCCTTACTTTGAATGTTACTTCTTGGCTCCACTGTAGAGCCCTCAGCCTAACTGGCACAGATCCTTCACCCGGCTGGCACAGACTTTCTAGCTTCCACTACTCACCTTGGACCTTCCCAGCACAGATCCATGAAACAGACTTGGCGTGAGTCATTGTTGTGGGCCCTAGGCCTCCAGCTGGGAGACACTGTGGGCTTAAGGCCTTCAGCTGAACACACAGGACACTGCCATGGAGTCCAGGCCCTTGGCTGGATTCTCTACATCTTTAGTGTGCAGACAGATTTCCTGCACTTTCTTTGTAGCTGACTGCTTGTGTGACCATTATGAATGATACTGTAAATTATGTTGTCCTGTGTTGTCTTGTTCTCCTTGTAAATCCCTGACTATAACACCAGAACACTATGCAAATGCAAATTTATCTTTAGGATACACATTTCTACTACCTTTGCTAAAAGTTGTTATTTTGTATCTTTTACTTTCTACAGCACCAGACTCTAGGGCTGATACAGGATATAGGGCCATAGCAAAACTGGTTGGGGAAATGTGCAGGTCCTGTCAATTATAAGATCCTAGGGTAATTCAAGGACCCCGTATATAGAACTTCTCCAGACCTCCCACCAGATGTGGACAGCATTAAAAAGACTGGCCTGATTTTTTTCAGTTTTTTATATGTTCTAGATAATAGTCCTTTGCTGAGGGCTAACTGGATAAAATTGTTTTCCACTATTTGGGTTCTGTTTATACTATGTGATTTTGTTTTCTGAGCAAAAGCTAATAGGATGAGATACCAATTGTTCATTCTTTGTATTATTTCCTATGTGATTAGTGTTTTCTTTATGAAATCTTTGCTTATACCCATATCATCTAGAGTTCTGCCTATTCTCTCATGTAGCAGATTTATAAAGAAAATCAGAACCCCCAAACTTAAAGACCCAATGAACACACTTCTCAGATGAAGAAATACAAATGAAAAATAAAATATATGAAAAGAATGTTCAACATCTTTGGTTATTCAAGAGATGTAAATTAAAACTGAGATTCCACCTCATCCCAGAAAAATTGGCTATCATCAAGAAATTGACCAATAACAAATGCTGGCGGGGCTGTGGGGAAAAAGGAACCTTTTCCCATTGTTGGTAGGAGTGTAGATTGGTACAACCACTGTGAAATCCGTGTGAAGATTCCTCAGAAAACTAGAATTAGAGGTCTAATTTGACCCAGCTATTCCCATTCTGGGTAGCTTCCCAAAAGAATTAAAACCATCATACCACAGTAATATATGTGCACCCATGTTTATAGCAGCACAGTTTATAATAGCCAGATCTTGGAAACAACCCAAAGGCCCATCAATTGAGGAATGGATAAAAAAGAGGTGATATATATGAGTAATCCTCAGCCATAAAGGATAAACGAGATATTTATAGGTAAATGGATCCACCTTGAGACCATACTCTTACATGAAATAAACTAGAAACACATATGTAAATATCAGAATGTCTCACTGTTGTGAGACACTGAAAAAGTAAACAAGGACCAAAATGTACAATAGACACTGTGAAACAGGATAAAATAGTTTAAAAAAGAGAGAGAGAAGCTAGGGGCTTAGTAGGGGGAAAGAACAGAAAAGGGAAAAAATGATAAAAAGGATAAAATGGAAATAAAGCTTTGTAAACAGGGAAGGAAAAAGGGGTTGAAGACAGGAGAGGTGACTTGGGAAAAAGAATCAAGATATATAGGGGTACAAATTCCCTATGATGATTATAATCATTACCTATACCTAAATTGCACCAATAAACTTAATTTTTAAAAAATGATTTTTGGGGGGAAAAAAGGCTGGAATTATGGAACACCATCATCCTATGTGCACCTGAACAAGCTGAGTACTTTTATTTTTGCTTTTACTCTTTTCTCTTTGTTCAGCACGTTTGCTCTGTAGAGGTGATTTCTCCCATACCCATTTACACCATATTTTTCAAACTTTTGAGCAGTTATTAGCTTGTCTTGTCCAATTCTTTGTTTAAGGCAAGAAGAATCTGAAATACTTTTGACTGAGAAGCTGTTTCTGAAGAAACCATCTCGTAAACGGCCCTCTCCTCAAAACCCATTCTTCTCTTGTAAAGCAAGTCAAGTGGTTCGCTGGGGGTGCTTGTACGAGTAAGTGGCCCTGAAGTACTAGGGGTGTTGGGGGGGGGGTGAAAAAGAATCACGTGCAGACTGTGTTCCCATTAAGTACACTTAGGAGAGAGTCTGGAAACTCCTACGACAGAATCCATGTCCCAGTGCATTGAAATTGATTGTTTTTTTCCGGAAGTGTATTGAAACCAAGAATGAAACTCAAGGTTTAGGGCGTTAATTTACATTCTAAGCACCACTTGCTAAATACTGTAGGTGTTCCCTGGACTCTCCTATGGAGCCACGAAAGAGAAAGAGCAGGAAGGGAGGAAGGGCAGTGGAAGGGGGAAGCATTACAAGAAACCAGCACTCCCAGGAGCAGAGCTGGGTGCTGTGGAGGTGCCAGGGGGAGAGAAAGACAGGACTTTCAAAAGAAGTAAGAAAACAAGCTGAGGCCAGGGTAACTCATATCATCCTGAAAGTTTGCCAACCCTCTGCTTTGTCCAAGACCCTCAAGGAATCAGAAATAAACTGACTGACCACTGCAGGTCCTCAGGAGTCTAATCCACAAAAGTTGTTAACATCCGTTAGGAGCAGGCAGAACACAGTTCAGAGTGTGAGAGAAGATAGGCAAAGTTCTAACTCCAGCTGTCCCTAAATAAAATGCAAGGCAGACATAATTACGGGTCAAGTGCAAAGTGCACTTTCATATCCCATCACTGTTTCACCGCAGGCACCCAAGGGCCTGGAGAGGAAGCCTTTCCACTGCTGTGCAACCAAAAGAAAGCAGGGGCCAGGCGCCCTGGTGCTCTTCTCTCATGGGCTCTGCAGGAAAACCCGCTCTGGGACCCGGTCCCCAGAAGGCTAAGAACTGGTGCAGGGCCGCCCAGAGGCACAAGGGCGCACCAGCAGGCCCCCAGGTGCCATCAACCTTCAACTGCAAGTATGAGCCGTTGACAGAACTGCGAGGAGGGGTACACATAAGCGCCCGGTGTTTTAAAACAGCTCTGATGAAAATAAAACTATAAAGGGGCGTGGGCGCACACCCTAGAAAGCAACTGGCACGCACTGAGACTGTTAACACTTGTACCCAGCCAGGGTCTCTCCACGCCAGAACCCCGGCTGTCACGGGACAGGCGCTCTCGTACGCCAAAGCCCGGGCCGGGCCGTGCCCCGGGCGCCCGCACAGCGCCGGCATCCGCGCGGACCGGAGCCGCACCTGCGGGCCGACGCACGCGCCCCGGCCCGCGCCACGCAGCACGAGGCCGACTCGGCACGACGGGCCTGCAGGGTCGCGACCACCGCGACGGCCGGAGCGCGGCGCCGCGCAGGCTCCAGGCACGGCCGCCTCGCGCCCCTCACCTGCCGAGGATCGCCACCGCGCCCTCCGCCGACGTCGCCATGGCCGCGAGCGCCGCACCGGCGGGGGCGCCACGGAGCGGCTCCAGGGGCGGGCGGGGCGTCCGGGCCGCGGACTGCGCACGCGCGGGCGGGAGGGGGGCGGACGCCGCAGCACGGGCGCCCCGTGGGCTCTCGCGCGGGAACTCTGGTGTTTCCCAGGTGGCAGGGCAGACGCGAGACCTGCGTGAGTCTGTTTTTGTCTCTGCTGCGCGCTAAAAGTCAGGGGCCCCGGCGTTCGCGAGCGGTCGGGTCTCCAGACTCGAGGGCTGCAGCGCACGCGGGCGGGCCGGCTCGGGCGGGCAGCGCGGCCTCCAGTCTCCCCGGAAGGCGCTGCGGCAGCGTCAGGGCTTCGCGCCACCGGGCGCAGGAGCTGCCAGACGCAGTGCTTGGAGAAGCGGAAGGACTGTGGGGTGCTGCCTGCCGCGCTGTGGCTGCTGTGAACCCTCCCCGCCCCCCCCACTCCAGCTCACCCCAAACCCCTCACCCCTGCTCCTCCCCCACTCTGCGCCCCCCCCCTTCACCCTCTCCACTCCCCTTCCTCCTGCCTTCCCTTCGACCTCCTCCCTCCCTCCCTTCCATTTTTCCCTCTTCTTCCTTTCTACTTTCAGGAAATGCCCTCGAGCCCTGCACCCACACGGCACAGCAGAGGGACAGCCCACGTCCTCCGGTGCAGGCTGATGAGAGGCTCTCAGGCTCAGACTCTGACACTGAACCAGCCTGAACACCAGCAGTGTTCTTCGATGTCTCCGTAGCCAGGATTAGAAACAGAGACCCCTCTGAGAAGTTAGAGTTTTAAAAGTCACTTGAACACAGAAATATGAGACCCGTTTCTGGGTCTTTTTCTGTCCCTCCATGTAAACCTGTAGGAATTGGGACTCCAATCACCTTATCAGAAGCCCCTGTCCTAGTGCAGGCCTGTAACCCTGACAACTCAGGAAGCTGAGTCAGAAAGATTGCTTGAGACCAGGAGTGCAAGGCCAAACTGGCCAATATGACAAGACTTTTTTTTTTAATTTAAAAAAGAACCCTTGTAAATATGTCAACCTTGTAGTTATTATTTGTACTTTGGAATCATAAAGTTTTTAATCTCACATCTTTTTGTCAGCATCCACAATGGCAAGTTAATCTGTTGGCTTAAAATTAGGTGAAAATTTAGACCTCTCACAGTTCACACATACCAAAATTTTTTGAAGAGAAAACCAAGGAATATAAACCAGAATAAAACGTATCAAAACAAACCAGAGCAAATGATACAGGACTTCAAAACATTACAAAATCAGTAATAGTTACCATAATGCCCTTTGGTGTCTGCAAAATAGCTGCAGATACTTTCAGACGTAGTAAAAATCAAACAACACAATCGAATAAAAACAATAAAAGCAAAACAATGAATGCAATAAAGGGCTTCAAAATAAGCTTATAGTAAGTCCAAAATGGCTACCATAATATATCTTGCTATCTTTGGAAGTAGCTGTTCCTGCCATAGAATTTAACATAAAAGAGAATAAAACCCAACAAAACAATGAAAGCGATATAGGACTTCAAAATAAGACAACAGGGAATAAATAATGGCTACCACCCTCCAAAGGAGACGCCCTGGATGCTATGCTGCATACCACTATGCTCTGAACAGATGATCAGAGCACTGGCCCTAGACCGGCAAGGTCAGTGAAATACCAAAGCACCACAGGCATCCAATTGCATTTCATCTCTATAGCTATTATCATAGCCTCTGTTTCTCTGGATCAGTTGCTTAGGGGGAGAGGGGATACTGGTACTTCTTGTTTGCCAGCCCATGAGCCAGGAGGGTCTGGGGTCTCGCTGTCTCCACTTCTGAGGTGGCCAGCACATGGCGCTGGTTCCCAGGTGTGGCTTGCTTTCTGATGTGGCCTTGTTCTCTCCCCCCACCACACATACAAATTTGAAATGCATGTGCCTTTTGACTTAGCAACTCCAATTCCAGACAGCTATTGTGCAGAAATACAAGTGGACAAGAAGATAAGGCTGCTTATTTCAACATAGTTTTAATAGAAAATATTGAAAACATGATTAATACATACAAATGAGTAATGGCTTTAAATATTAAGACATTTTCAGACAGCACCTGCTTTGGACCAAGATGAAATAACAGGTACAAAAGCCAAATGGGCAGAATTTGCAGAATCAGACAGAAGGAGGATGGCCAGGGGAGAGGACTCTAGGGGTCTATAAAAGATGCCCCTCAAGCCTTCAGCTGAGTATCAATCTGTGCACAGGAGAGAGAAACTAACAATAGGCTGATCCCGGAAAGGAGTGGGGTCAATCCCTGGAGTTAGTACAAGGCCAAGAAGCACTGTGTCTCCACCAGCCATCTGGAAAACCTCGTAATACACAGGACCTCAGCAGAATACTCAGAAATATGCTGCCTAAGTAGTGGTGCTAATTTAGTCCTAAAAACTTATGTGGAATCACCCTAAGAAAAACTAAAAGCAAGCCTCAAAAAGACCAGCCTGATTCCAAGTAATTAAGTGCATCGCAGAACAAAACCCAATAGTATTTAAAGGAATATAACAGGGTTAGCGATATAGCTCAGCAGCACAGCATCTGCCTGGCAAGTGCAAGGTCCTGAGTTCAATTTTTAACAAGAAATAAATGAGTGTAATAATATTAGGGGGAAAAATTAGAACTGTACCTGATTTTAACCTTTCAGGCTAACTCTTCAGGAATGTCTGGTATAAAATAGACAAGACTAGGGGAGGGGAAATGGGAGCTACTGTTTAGTAGATGTAAGTTTCAGCTTTGCAGTCCTGGGATGTAATTTAAGAAATATATCATTTGTGCCCCCCATCCATGGGTTTGCTCTCCATAGTTTCAGCTGCCTGTAATTTGGCACAGTGAAAATATTAAATAGAAAGTTAAGGGGCTGGGGATTTAGCTGAGTGGCATAAGTGCCTGCCTTGCAAGTACGTGGTCGTGAGTTCAATCCCCGGTACCGATAAAAAGCAAAAAGACAAAAAATTAAAAAGAAAGAAAGTTAAAGAAATAATACATAAGCTTTAAGTAATTTTTATTAAAGTATATTTTTATACTTGTTCTATTTTATCATTGTTATTCTGCCCAGTTTATAAATTAAACTTTATCATAGTTGTGCATGTATGGGGAAAAAAACAGCGTATGTAGGGCTGACCATTCCATGGTGGCAGAGCCCCATGGGTGGACTGGGAACAGCTATTTCCTGTAAGAGAGGGGCTATGGTTCCAATGCGGCTTCTCCTCCCAGGCTGATGTGCTGGCAGCTTCATCCTTGGTGTGGTGGTGTTGTTGGAACCTTGTAGAAATGGAAGCCAGTGAGAGGTGGTTAGGACACTAGGGGCATCACCCTTGCGAGAGAGGAATGTGCTTTCGAGAGACCCTGCTTAGCTATGGAAAGGGGGATTTTATGAGTAGAGCCCCTCACTGGGTCAGCCCTGCCAGCACAGGCCTCCTTCCCTCCTGTTTCTCAACCAAACTAAGATGCAACCGCAGGACCCCCCTGCCCACCAGAAGCCACACAAGTGCAGCCACAGACTCATGGAATTTCAGCCTCCAAAACTGATAAGATAGGGGCTGGGGATTTAGCTCAGCGGCATAAGCGACTGCCTTGCAAGCAGGCAGTCGTGAGTTCGATCCCTGGTACCGATAAAAACGAAAAAGACAAAAAAAAAAAAAAAAACTGATAAGATAGTAAACTTGTCTTTACAAAGTACCTAAGCTATTTGTTACACCAAGAGAAGATGGGATCCTGCCAGGATTTTGTATTTGGTCTTTGTTTCCTGCTTCTGCACCGAGTGCTGAAGTGGGGGCAGTTTGTGGACTAAGTCCTTAACTTAGTTTCAAAATACAGTTAAATTTTAGGATACTTGATCAATGTTTGCTGAAGAACGGAATTAAATTGTCATGACAGAGGAATCCATGCATCCATTGTCTGCAGTGGGGCATTGAAAGCAGAGCATAGTGATCTTATCAAATGAACCGTGAGGGGCTGTCTTCCCTTTTTCTCTCATGTAGAAGAGGGCACACATCAGACCTCAACATTGCTATTACACTGGTTTCTGATTTCCAGACTCCAGAACTGTGAGCAATAGAATTCTGGTGGTCATAAGCCACAATGCCAGTGTGGGTACTTAGTACAGCAGCCAGAGCTGACTAAGACACATACAAAGATAGTTCCATGAGAAGAGGCTAGTCTCTAGCAAATGCTGCTGGAGCAATGAGATGTAGGAATGATCATGATCACCACTACTCCCTAGCTCCCACCACACACAAAAACTCCTTCAAAATGCACCCTACACTTAATATGAAACCTAAAACTGTTAAATAACTAAAATAAAACATAGAGGAAAACTTTGTGACCTTGTAGTAAGCAACTATATTTTTAAGTTGGTTTTTCAGCCCCCTTCTATCTTTTGGTCCCCTTCCCGTTTGTGAAAGGTCCATCTCCCCACTTCTAATTATTTTTCTTGTATGCTGTTCTTTATGTATATTTTGTGTTTATCAGATAGCACCATGTGATATTTAAATTTGTGTGTCTTATTTCACTCAAGGTGCATCCTTTCCTACAACTGTTTGACGTTTATTCTTCTTTATGGTAGATATCCATTGTGTCTAAATATTATAGTTTCTTTATCCATTTATCACACCTCTTCCAAGCTTTAGCTATTATGAATTGTGTTGCTTTAAATATGGGTCCGTAAGTATCACTGTAACACAACGTCTTTAAATCTTTCAGGAAGATAGCTGGGAAGGGATAACAGGGTTGAATGAAATTTCTAGTATTAGTTCTTCAGCAATCTCTACACTGATTTCCGTAGTGGTTGTATTAGTTTACATTCCCACTAGTATTGTGAAAGAGTTCCTTTTTCCCTGCCAGAGTTTGTTATTATTTGATTTATTGATGATAGTCACTTTTTCGGGAGTAAGAGGAAATCTCAGTGTTGTTAAATTACATTTCTCTAATGGCCAGAGGTAACGAATATTTTTATGTATTTATTGGCTTTTTAAACTTCTAATAAGTGTGTGCTCTTTGCATTTGACCATTTTTTATTGAGTCTTTTATTTTTGGAGTCTAATTTTTTTAGTTCTTTATATATTAGTCCTCTGTCCAAAGAATAGCTCACAAATTTTTTTCCAATTACATGGGTTGTCTTTTCATTCTGTTGATTGCATCTTTTGCTGTGAAGAA